TACGTCATCATTGACTGATTGAACATTCTTGTACACTGGTGTTGTCAACGATATTAGAATATCCCTTTAATAAATCTTCCTTTTGATGTGCACCAGCAGCTTGCTATGAAAATCTATTTTGACACATGACTGTACTATACTAGATTTTATTTTTGTAACACACCACTACACTGTAACTATATTTTCGTTATATAGTAAGTAATAAGTAAAGTTCCTTTTTCGAAACTGACGGTCTATGGGGCAAGTGAAGTGGAGCTCACCTGTTACTGTGACCTCAGCATAAGAGGAGGTAGTGAGGTCAGCATTAGGTGAGTTAGGTACCCAATCAGAGCTGGGTGAACTCAGTGAACAAACTACTGACTTGAACTCGGATTCGAACTGGGGTTTACATTTATGCGGTTTGTTTATTATCTTTATGTGCTCATAGTGAGTCATATATATATATATATATATATATATATATATATATATATATATATATATATATATATATATATATATATATATCTAATATATAAAGCTCAGTTCTGTAACGTGTGGCAAAAAAAAAAAAGTTTGTCGTTGACACTTCTACGGATTTAAGTGTTAGATTGTTTATCGTGCTCAAAGTCTAAATTTACGAGTCAAAAAATTACCATTGAAAGTCTTACAAAACAATTTTCATTCTATTTACTTAGAAGAATAATTTTCAATTATGAACACGACATAAAATTTTTAAAAAGTGTATCGACGTTTATAAAATTTCTAAAATTGTGTCGGAAATGTATTGACTGCAAAGTTACTTCCCTTTAATGAAAAATAAATCCTTAAGAAGAGAGAATTTACATTTTATTACTTTGTTTTTGGTGTTAAGAAAAAAAAATAATTACACAATTAGCGGGGATTGATTAAGTGCAATGTCGTTAGGTATTTTTAACACTGCCTTTTATTTATTCTATACACTGAACATACTGTTCAATAATTTTTTTTTTTTTTTTTTTAAATCAATAACATTTAATAAGCCAGGTCCTACAAATCATATACGTTTATTTCTTTCCATTTACGGATAAGCTTGGAGTATTATCATTTTTGTTCACTAAATTGAAACAGGCGCGTCCGCCGGCGCCCCTGCACGGTTTGATTTGGCACCCTGGGCTATCATGTGAGCGCTATGCTGCATAATTTTGTTTTAAACAGTGCGATAGACTATGGATAAGAAAGGTTACTATAGTCTTTAAGTGAATCAAATCCGGGCGTCCTCCGGCACCCCGACAGGGTGCTATTTGGCGCCCCGGGCCTTCCGGTGTACGCTATGGTATCTACGTTCGCGTGAGTTCAAAAGACTATGAATAAGTTATGCACTATAGGCGTTTACTAAGTTCAATCAGGCGGTGACGTCATGGTGCGTCCTCTGGCGCCCAGACAGGGTGCTTTTTGGGGTCCCGGGCCTCCCGTGTTCGGTTTCGCGCCTACGTTCATTAAAGTGAGTGCAAAAGACTATGAATAAGTTGGGGTACTATAGTCGTTTATTAAGTTGAAGTAGGCGATTCAGCCCCGTGAGCACTTTGCGTTTATATTCGCGTTAGTGTTTTCTTTGTGTTTAGGTTGGGTTTGCGTTAGTGGTTGCGTTTTGATTTGGTTCGTTTTTGTTCTTTCTTTTTTCGTTTTCGTTTGTGTTTTATTTTCATTGGGTTTGTGTTTGTATTTGTGTTTGAGGTTGGTTTTGCGTTTGGATTTGGTTTGTTTTCGTTTGTTTTTTCTTTTGTGTTTTTTTTCTTTGGGTTTGTGGTTGGTTTTGCGTTTGTATTTGGTTTGTTTTCGTTTGCTTTTTCGTTTGTTTTTTTCTTTGGGTTTGTGTTTGTGGTTGGTTTTGTGTTTGGATTTGGTTGGTTTTCGTTTGCTTTTTTCTTTGTGTTCGTATTGGTGTTTGTGGTTGTGGTTGGTTTGTTGTAAGTTTTTGTTTTCGTTTGTATTTGTAATTGTGTTAGCGTTATGTTTGCGTTTTGTTGTTTTGGTTTTGGTTGGTTGTGGTTTGGGTGGGCAATGCCGGGTTTATGATGATTACTAAACACACAGGTGATGGTCTTTAACAGAAGGGTTTTTCACAGAAGCCAGAGCAGGGCCTGGCCGGGACGGCTAGTAATATATAAAGCTCAGTTCTGTAACGTGTGGCAAAAAAAAAGTTTGTCGTTGACAGTTCTACGGATTTAAGTGTTAGATTTTTTATCGTGCTCAAAGTCTAAATTTACGAGTCGAAAAATTACCATTGAAAGTTTTTAAAAACAATTTTCATTCTATTTACTTAGAAAAATAATTTTCAATTATGAACGCGACATAAAAATTTTAAAAAGTGTATCGACGTTTATAAAATTTCTAAAATTGTTTCGGAAATGTATTGACTGCACAGTTACTTCCCTTTAATGAAAAAAAAAATTCTTAAGAAGAAGAGAGAATTAACATTTTATTACTTTGTTTTTGGTGTTAAGAAAAAAAAAAAAATTACACAATTAGCGGGGATTGATTAAGTGCAATGTCGTTAGGTATTTTTAACACTGCCTTTTATTTATTCTATACACTGAACATACTGTTCAATAATTTTTTTTTAAATCAATAACATTTAATAAGCCAGGTCCTACAAATCATATACGTTTATTTCTTTCCATTTACGGATAAGCTTGAAGTATTATCATTTTTGTTCACTAAATTGAAACAGGCGCGTCCGCCGGCGCCCCTGCACGGTTCGATTTGGCACCCTGGGCTATCATGTGAGCGCTATGCTGCATAATTTTGTTTTAAACAGTGCGATAGACTATGGATAAGAAAGGTTACTATAGTCTTTAAGTGAATCAAATCCGGGCGTCCTCCGGCACCCCGACAGGGTGCTATTTGGCGCCCCGGGCCTTCCGGTGTACACTATGGTATCTACGTTCGCGTGAGTTCAAAAGACTATGAATAAGTTATGCACTATAGGCGTTTACTAAGTTCAATCAGGCGGTGACGTCATGGTGCGTCCTCTGGCGCCCAGACAGGGTGCTTTTTGGGGTCCCGGGCCTCCCGTGTTCGGTTTCGCGCCTACGTTCATTAAAGTGAGTGCAAAAGACTATGAATAAGTTGGGGTACTATAGTCGTTTATTAAGTTGAAGTAGGCGATTCAGCCCCGTGAGCACTTTGCGTTTATATTCGCGTTAGTGTTTTCTTTGTGTTTAGGTTGGGTTTGCGTTAGTGGTTGCGTTTTGATTTGGTTCGTTTTTGTTCTTTCTTTTTTCGTTTTCGTTTGTGTTTTATTTTCATTGGGTTTGTGTTTGTATTTGTGTTTGAGGTTGATTTTGCGTTTGGATTTGGTTTGTTTTCGTTTGTTTTTTCTTTTGTGTTTTTTTCTTTGGGTTTGTGGTTGGTTTTGCGTTTGGATTTGGTTTGTTTTCGTTTGTTTTTTCTTTTGTGTTTTTTTCTTTGGGTTTGTGGTTGGTTTTGCGTTTGGATTTGGTTTGTTTTCGTTTGCTTTTTCGTTTGTGTTTTTTTCTTTGGGTTTGTGTTTGTGTTTGTGGTTGGTTTTGTGTTTGGATTTGGTTTGTTTTCGTTTGCTTTTTTCTTTGTGTTCGTATTGGTGTTTGTGGTTGTGGTTGGTTTGTTGTAAGTTTTTGTTTTCGTTTGTATTTGTAATTGTGTTAGCGTTATGTTTGCGTTTTGTTGTTTTGGTTTTGATTGGTTGTGGTTTGGTTGGGCAATGCCGGGTTTATGATGATTACTAAACACACAGGTAATGGTCTTTAACAGAAAGGTTTTTCACAAAAGCCAGAGCAGGGCCTGGCCGGGACGGCTAGTATATATATATATATATCTAATATATAAAGCTCAATTCTGTAACGCATATGTTTGTCGTTGGCATTTCTACGGATTTAAGTGTTAGATCAATTATCGTGCGCGTTTGTCTAAATTTATGAGTTAAAAAATTACTATTAAAAGTGTTGGGAAATCATTTTCATTTTTCAAATTATAGTAATAATTGTCGGCATGTTCATTAAACACAAGTTTTAAAAAAAATATCATCTTTTACAAAAATTCTAATTATGTTTTTATTTAGTCCTATAGCGCTTACTTCCCTTTGATAAATTAGGCAAAACACAATTACTTCCCTTTATGAAACCATTGCATTAGTTGAAAAGCATTTACTTTTTAATTACTTTGTTTTGGTGTTGGGAAAAAAATAATTACATAATTAGCGGGGATTGATCAAGTGCAAATGTTTTAGGTATTTTACGGATAAGCTTGGAGTATTATAATTGTTCATTAAATTGAAACAGGCGCGTTCGTTTAAGTGAGTGCAAAAACTATGAATAAGTTGGGGTACTATAGTCGTTTATTAAGCTAAAACAGGCGATTCTGCCCCGGGCGTTTATGTTCGCGTTAGTGTTTTCTTTGTGTTTAGGTGGGTTTGCGTTAGTGGTTGCGTTTTGATTTGGTTCGTTTTTGTTCTTTCTTTTTTCGTTTTTGTTTGTGTTTTTTTTGTTTGGGTTTGTATTTGTGTTTTTGGTTGGTTTTGCGTTTGGATTTGGTTTGTTTTCGTTTGCTTTTTCGTTGTTTTTTTTTTTTGGTATTGGTGTTTGTGGTTGGGTTTGTTGTTAGGTTTTTGTTTTCGTTTGTTTTTTCTTTGTGTTTGTATTGGTGTTTGTGGTTGTGGTTGGGTTTGTTGCTAGGTTTTTGTTTTCGTTTGTATTTCTAATTGTGTTAGCGTTATGTTTGCGTTTTGTTGTTTTGGTTGGTTGTGGTTTGGGTGGGCAATGCCGGGTTTATGATGATTACTAAACACACAGGTAATGGTCTTTAACGGAAAGGTTTTTCACAGAAGCCAGAGCAGGGCCTGGCCGGGACGGCTAGTATATATATATATATCGAGGTGCACGTCTACATCTCCCTGCGTGTCTCTACTCCTGCTACACAGCTGTGCACGCGCTGTTCGTGTATCACGTGACCAAGCGTGTCGCGCATGCCTGCTATGCACATCAAGCGGTACTGGTACTCACCCGACACCTGTGTGTTGTACACCTGGGGAAGGACGGGCAGCGGCACCGAGGTGCTGATCCCTGCCTGGCTGTAAGCTGAGGCATTCCCGCCATAGGAGATGGGCGGGGCTAGAAAACAAAAAGTGACAGACGTTAGCTTCCTGGTAATCAAAGTGTATGTCTGGGTGGCGACATAGGTTACATAACGAGAAAAGAACACACAATATTAAAACATCCGCCATATCTATATTCGTATCTTTATTGCTCTACCCTTCCCTCTATAAATTTTTCTTTATATATATATATATATATATATATATATATATATATATATATATATATATATATATATATATGTGTGTGTGTGTGTTTGTATGTATGTATATACACACATAAACTCACGCATACATAAACATATTCTGCCTTACTCACCCTCTCTATAATTTAAAGGCTATTGCTGGTGTAGATAATACAACGCAAGAAATGAAAAGCTAAACTGTTATTTAATTGATCTACTCCAGTGTTAGCCATTGTCTACCCTAAGGATAAAAAAATGGTGTTCTTTTGTTCTACATCTACACTACAAGTTTGCTACAACTTCGTCAACTTAGTTACAAAAGAGCTCCATTAAACTCGAATGTAAGGGAGTTAATGAAGTATACATGATCCTGGCGGTGCCGTAGAACAATGGTGAGATACGTCTTCTAGACTAGAGCGACGGGAGAGGTTCTAGTAGGCTTTGTTGTGAGAATTAAAAATGTAAAAGATGGATTTTACTGGAGATAAAGGAACGGGACAATACAAAAACAGATGGGGGAATATTTTTTGTTGGTGTTTAGAGGAGATGGAATTCAGATGTTGATGCGATGTGTGATAGATGTTTTTTTTTTGTTCTTTTTGGGATGTTGACTTGATGTTGAACCGTGATGAGAGGGTGGAAGGGGGGGGGGGGGGGATGTTTACAACAGTCGTACCAAGGTTAGAGTAGGGAAAGTCAGTGGAGGGTGAACCTGTTACGGGTGAGTGGTCAACGAGGGTTAATATGTCACTGGGTGCCAGGTGACGTCATCTGATGTCAGTAGTGACCAAGTTGTACACACATATGACATGTTCATGTTATGTTTTTAACACATTACACAACATTTTATAGAAGCGGAAATGAAAAATGAAAGCAACACCATCACCACAACACCATTACCACAACACAACAACATCATAACAACAACATCACCACAACACCATCACCACAACACAACACCATCATCACAACACCATCACCACAACATCATTACCACAACACAACACGACAACACCATCACCACAACACCATAACATCAACATTATTACACCAACACAACACGATAACACCATCACCACAACACCACAACACCATCACCACAACACCATCAACACAACACAACACCACAACACCATCACCACAGCTACTCCATCACCACAACACCTTCACTACAACACCACACCACCACACCATCACTACAACACCACACCATCACCACAACACCATCACCAAAACACCATCACAACAACACAACACAACACCATCACCACAACACGACAACACCATCACCAAAACACCATCACAACAACACGACAACATCATCACCAAAAACACCATCACAACAACACAACACCATCACCACAACACCATCACCACCACACCATCACCACAACACAGACAGTCGTGTCCTATACCTGATCACGTCACCAAACGACAGCCGAGAGCCGTCAATACAACAAGAAAACAAAGGGACGCAAGCCTCGCGTTCAATCAAGCAGCTACAGGAAAAGATATCCCTCCCTACCCCACCGTCTCTACATTAACAGCTGTCCGACTCAACCCCCACCCCCACCCCACTCCAACCACACCCAAAGTATCGATAAAATGACAAAGACAATTAATGTAAAACTTGCAATTAGAATCCCCCCCTCCCTTTGCAGATGTTATTAATACACACAGTTATTGAATGTACTCAATGTTTCGTGTAGTAGAAACGCAAATGTAGGTTAACGTGAGATATTTAAATGAATATAGATCAGTTGTGTTTAAAGCGAATACAGCAGTAAAATAAAAATTACTATAGTAAGTTGGCTAGGGTTAGTCGTTAGATAAAATTGACACGGTTGGTTAGTGGTTAGTTTAAAGACACGACGGGTTAGTGATTAGTTAAATGGACACTTGGGGTTAGTGATTAGTTTAACTGGCACGAAGGGTTAGTGGTTAGATTAACGCACACGAGAGGATAGTTGCTAGTTAAAACGGGTTAGTAATTAGTTAAATGGACACGTGGTGTTAGTGGTCAGTTAGTGGAACGGAAACGAGGTTAGCTGGTTAGCGCATGCGTGATGATAGAAGTTGGACTCGCTTACTTGAAAACTGACCAATGGAAGGCAACGGGAGGTAGCTGTTGCCGGACGCCGTAGGGACAGGGGTCAGTTCGGTGAACACGATGCCTTGACCTTGACCGTCTTTCAAGGAGTTGGGGGAGGGGCTCATATCTTTATTGCCTCTGCCGTTGGTGGGGGTGTGTGGGGCGCCGATGTTGTCGTTGCCGCCGGTGCCCGAGTGTGGGGAGGAGGTGGGCGTGGAGGTGCTGCTGCCTCGGTGTGTTTTTAGAATGGCTGGAGGGGGACAAACACAGTTGGCATACCACGAGTGCAAGAAACAACAACAAAAAATGTAGCAATGTAGTGGGCACAGTCGTTTAAAGTAAATTACAAACAAACAAACAAAAAAAAAAAAGCTGGCACAGAAAGAAAGAAAAAACAACAAAACAAAACATCAAAATCTTTTGACAAGACAAAATAAGAAGAGAAAAAAAAAATTGTCAACCATCCAAAGAAGTAAAACACCGTTAACATTAAAAACTTTAAAGAGAAATAAAATTAACCATCAAATAACGTTGAAAAAAAAACACTTAAGTATGACATTGATCAGGCTGAACTTAATATATGGATTACATCAGGATGGGCCATGCAACACATGTACACACTAGGCGTGCTGCTGTTACACATCTCCGTAGTTACGTGCGTTAAGCAGGTTCAAAACATGCTGTGTACGTGTTTATTTACATAATTATAATTCTCGATTCAAGTGGACAGCTGATGCGGATCATTTTAATTAATTGATTAATTAATCTTATTTCACAAAAGGAGACGGGGTATTATGTATATGAAAGTAGGTATCAGTAGAATAATATGTGGTATGGTCTTAAGATAGAAAATAAAAAGAAGAGGATAAATATATTTTTCTGGAGATTTCAAGAAGGAAATTGTTGTTAAAATCTCGAGATAAACAAAGTCTTGTTCAAATCTTTAGAGGAACAATACTGTGCCGGTACCTTAGGGTGAGTGAAATATCGAACTAAACAAAGTCTTGCTGAAATTTTTAGAGCGACAGACATTTCGCTGTCTTAAGTCTTACTAAGAACGAAATCTCGAGTAAAAGAAATCTCGCCGAAATCTCGAGGAAGACGAAATCCAGGACGAGCGTCGGCCGGCGAGAGCCTGGTCGTTATCTCGCGATTCTCCCGGCTATAATTACAATTAGTCACAACCGGCTCTGTCTGGAGCCGGCAAAAAAGCCGGGTGTAGTAGACCAGCCGGCAGGCTCAAGTAACGACCCCCACGCACGCTAACGGAAAATCTCACCCCGGAAGTGATTCCAGCCAGTGCGGGAGTGTCGTTTGCTGCGGAGACGGTCTTCAACCAATCAGAAAGCTGAGACGGCTGGGATCAGACTCATGACATCGCCAAGACAGGAAGGGGAAAGCCCACACGTCACAAGCCCACACGTCAAGCCCATACGTCAAGCCCACATCGACCCAAGATCGTGACAACTCCGAGAAATATTCAAGCTTGAATTTTTATTATATTTAAATTTTTTTTTCTTTGTTTTTAAATTTAAAAACAAAAGTTAAAATTAAAAAAGAAGTTGTTTTATCTTTACGATATTCTCAAAATAACAAAATAAAAATCTCAACATCTGAGCGGATGTGAAAAAAAAAACAAATTTTCGAACTCCAACAAACTTTGTGTAAGCGTTTATTATCCTAATGACAAAAGTCTAATATTTTCTCAATGCGGACGCCTAAAAAAATTCACCTAAGTTTGCCATTCTCCTCCAACAAAAATTAGCATGAGTGGGATAAAATGACGGGCCTAAAATAACAAACCTAGACTATTCCCATAAAATGACGGGCCTAAAATAACAAACCTAGACTGTTCCCATAAAATGACGAGCCTAACATAGAACCAGCCATTCACTCGCTATCTTTAAATCACCCTAGACAGGTGTTGAGTGAATGTCTCTAACATCCATTGATTTTAACAGGCTTATCGCAGATCAGCATTTCATCGGCACACACCTGTTGTGTTCCAGGTAACACCCAGGTGTGTGGGCACCCACCCGGCAACTGCTGGCTTTGATTTGAAATTCACGACACGAGGCCCCGGGCTAAGTGACTGCAAAAACTTTGGACACTTTGCAACATGCACAGACGTAACGTGGGAACAATCGGGGAATACATTAACCAAGAGATATAAACTGAAGTGGGGGCATCCTAACCAAAGTAAACTTGGACTTTGATGTCGGTAAAGAAAAATTATTGAAGAGTGTTTTGACGGGGAGAGGATCATACAACGTTTAGATAGTTCAGTACATGTTGACAAATTGAATAATAAAGTAGTGAGTTATTCAAGGAATAAACCACCTTTATGTTTGTTGACAATTTTAACATGAAATAAATATCAAATAACTTTATGGTGTTTTTTTTTTTAGAGAATGGTTTTAAAACGACATTGAAATTTGGGATGAAGTATGGCAGTAGGCTAAAGATGAAGTATAGCGGTAGGCTGTAAGCTAAAGATTAAGTATTAGTATAGATCGATTAACGGTGTGTAGGTGTGCGAGATTGAGGATTGAGTATAAAGATGAATGAGGATTATGTGATGCGATAGAAGTACCAGGGACATCCAACATACAACACACAGAAATCTAGGATAATGTAGCAATTAAAAATAGGGATATAGTAAACAGGGACAAGAGTGAGAAGTAACACGGATATTGAGATAGTGAGTAGAATGTATGGTCTATTTATAGCACTTACGTATAGGATAGGCGGCCCCACTTCCGCTGTGAGGTTCCCCGGAGGTCCGTGAAGGCGTCACGTGATACTCCTGCTTGATGGAGATGTCGCCACCTGAGAGGGAGGGGTTGCTGGAGAAGGGGAGGGATAACGTGGATGGCCCGCGGTGGTAGTAGTGGATATCCTCGGGGGAGGCATCTAGTGGATTGACGTCATCCGGTCTGGACATCTTCGAAGGTGGTTCGTACCAGCGCATCTGTAGTAGAGGTGGTAACATACCTAGTACATTGTACGGACATTTGGCCACACTAACGGACGGACATTTGACCACACTAACGGACCACATGAACAAAGAAATAGCATGAGACAAAATCAATCACTCGAACACATTTTGAGAAAGAATCTCACACTAAAAAAGCCTTTTCAATTTCTATTCGAATTAAAAAAAAAAAACATTTTGTTCCATCCACATTTAAAATAAGTGTGACAACCATACAATTTACCAGCAGACTATCTGATAAGTTTGGAAGAAAAATTAGATAATGATTTTTTTTCCTTACCGAAACTGAGTCCTGGTTTTCACGCATGCCATTTTGAACTGTGGATTATAGGATAAAATAACAGAATTAATGCTGTGTTGGATATAAAAAATTAAGTTGTTTCAAAATTGAGAAATAATTCATTCGTAAAATCTACGTATAGACGGGATCTACGTATAGACGGGGATAGTACAAAATGGAAGATACTGGCTGAGGCCTTATAATGGTTGAGGCCTTATAATGGCTGAGGCCTTATAATGGTTGAGGCTTTATAATGGTTGAGGCCTTATAATGGTTGAGGCCTTATAATGCTTGAGGCCTTATAATGGTTGAGGCTTTATAATGGTTGAGGCCTTATAATGGTTGAGGCCTTATAATGGTTGAGGCCTTATAATGGTTGAGGCCTTATAATGGTTGAGGCCTTATAATGGTTGAGGCTTTATAATGGTTGAGGCCTTATAATGGTTGAGGCCTTATAATGGTTGAGGCTTTATAATGGTTGAGGCCTTATAATGGTTGAGGCCTTATAATGGTTGAGGCCTTATAATGGTTGAGGCTTTATAATGGTTGAGGCCTTATAATGGTTGAGGCCTTATAATGGTTGAGGCCTTATAATGGTTGAGGCCTTATAATGGTTGAGGCTTTATAATGGTTGAGGCCTTATAATGGTTGAGGCTTTATAATGGTTGAGGCCTTATAATGGTTGAGGCCTTATAATGGTTGAGGCCTTATAATGGTTGAGGCTTTATAATGGTTGAGGCCTTATAATGGTTGAGGCCTTATAATGGTTGAGGCCTTATAATGGTTGAGGCTTTATAATGGTTGAGGCCTTATAATGGTTGAGGCCTTAAGCCATACAATGAGTAGAGCAGCTTTTACAAACTTTACGCTAATACGGTTTCGTATCACCTATGATTGGAAGCAGAGTTCTATGTAAAGTAGGATATAGAGGGAATGTTATCTTACCTACAATACGAAAGGGAATGTGTTAAATATGGTATGGAGGGAATGCTATCTTGCCTACAATGTGAAAGGGTACTCCGCGTGAATAACGAAATGTACAAGCCCTCATATAGAGAAGGGTGAGTTCCCTATGCTAATATTGTAACGGGGATGGGAGAAGACTATGGACTCGGTACAGCTGTCTTCCCTATCTTAGATGTGTGGGAAGGGGTTAGATGTGTGGGAAAGGATTTAGATGTGTGGGAAAGGGTTTAGATGTGTGGGAAAGGGGTTAGATGTGTGGGAAAGGGTTTAGATATGTGGGAAAGGGTTTAGATGTGTGGGAAGGGTTTAGATGAATGGGAAAGGGGGTAGGGCACCTGCCGTTCAGTCAACTCTGCTGCACGGTCAAAACACGTCTGGCCACACCCTGACGTATGACGGACAGACGGCTATTGACGCACTCATATACTGCACCTCAGTGTCGCAACAAACATAGTATTGTGCTCACGCGCATGTGTACTCACACTGCACGTGTAGAAGTAAAAATAGAAAAGAAAACTCGCTATTCTAAATAGAAACGTCAGGTGGGACTTCTAAGAAAGACAGGTAGACTTAATTAGATTAAATTTAATTTAAAATTCGAGAAAATGAATCTCACATTTCGGGGGACAATACGAGCCCGGGGGTGGGGGGGGGGGGGGGGGGGGTGGGGGTGGAAAACACCGGCGACAATAATCCTGTAAATCCGAGCTAATACTGGCCGGGTTTTAATTTCAAATGCTAATGTAGGGACGTGAGTCTTAACAGGAGCTGGGCAAACCAAGAGTTGTTAGGGGGGGGGGGGGGGTACAACCAGGTACAACCACGCCAAACCAAGCACGAGACTCAACAAGGGTTAAAAAGAGAGGGGGGGGGACTGTGTTGGTGGATAATTAGAAAAAGAATATTAACCCTAGCGCTAATTTAATATAGAATGATACTCTTTTCATTCTACAGTCAGTGACAGTAGCTTTTTACGCAGGTAAAATGAAGTGAAAAATGTAATAATCTCAGTTTTTATAACACGCCCCCATTCATTAAACAAACAGAAATCTTCCGCTGTTCGCTTCTCTCCTCGCCAGCTTTTGTTGACGAGTTTTTCTTTCTCTGGTACCTACAGGCGTCTTTTCACCGTCTGTCTTGCACGGGTTAGGGTTAGGCTTTTCATGTGCAACACGACTCAATGTCACCGCGTGCATTCGGCACGCGAGGTACCCCGACCTCCCACTTTGACCCGTCTCCCCCACCCCCGACCCGTCTCCCCCACCCCGTGAGCAGCGGACGTGCGGCACCAACAAAAGGCCGGGTAGACACCGCAATCTTCCCCGTGCATAAATCTCAGATTTGAAACTTCCGGTTCGACTTCCGGAACAAGATGGCCGCGTCGTCTCCCATTGGCAGCAGTGAGAATGACGTCGGTCTAATCCGAACCTCCCAGCACCGATTCATTACCTCCCGCTTCCTACACTGTGGCAGGTGGAATTATTTTGTCTGGATCCATTTCTTCTAGGTCGCTAACGAATTTTGGGAAATTAAAAAAAATAAGAAAAGCGACTGGAGTTTGTAAACAAGGAGAGTGGTGGGGTGGGAGGGGGGAGGGGGCACACGACATCTGCTGGTGTCCACGTTGACGCACAATATCACGTGATAGAAACACGGTGTAACATCCAGATGTGACACTTTAGAACAAGCCCAAGTCCTGATAATTAAACTTCTATTTTTTTTCCAACGAGACAAAAATGTATTTTGTACAAGTTTGGAAATAAGTCTCCTGAATAGATGTCAAGGCTTCGGTTCTAACTATTGTCTACTTAAATGGATATAGCTTACTAGTCAACTTAAATAGATGTAGGTTTTGATATTGTACAACCAAAGGGCTCTACTGCAGGATTTTTCATCGAGAATGTCTTTTGGTTTTGAACGATGGTCGAAAAACAACAACACATATTACAGGCTCGTTTATATGCCGATCTTTCTGTTGCATAATTCATTTAACAACCAACATGACAGAGGATCAAATACTTCCAGGAGAAGGATGATACGACTACAAATCTCTGGTCAGTGGTAACAAACAGGAAATCCAGCTTATTCCGGTACCTTTTGAAAGTAACGATACCCTTGTTTGAAGTTTGAAAAGACATACGTATTAGTGTCAAGCAATATTGCGTCAGTTTTGCGTTAAATATTGATCAGCGATCGATGAAGAAAGTGCATAAAAAAAGGAAAAAAAAAAAAGGTCTTGGCTTGGAAAATGAGATAAAAACAAACTTTTCAGAATGATGAAACATTAATTAACAGGCAGAAAACTTCTTTTCTTTCAAATTTTGTCGAGCTAAAAAGACGAGGAAAGAGAAAGCATAATTGATAACACTTTTTGTGCATTTATTGATCGGGATCTGGAGAAATGAGGATCAAGTTTGTTTTTTTAATTCGTTGATTGGGAGGTAGGGAGGGGGGGGGGTCCATTTTTTAGTCAGCTGGGCGGTGTGAAATACATCTTGGCCACCTAAATATGGCCATTTCGAATCTATTTCGAATTTTTTTTTCAGAATTGACACTTATTAGAGATTTATGTAATAAAACCGAATAATTTCCCAAATATATTTTCAGGCATACGTAGAAAACGAAAAATAAGCAAAGTTATTTTTTTCAATTATTATTTTTTATCTAAAAATAATACGTAAATGTGTTACTTTTTGGTGAAAAAAGCATTGCAACTTTGTACGGACAGAAAAAGTTAGGGAAATAACAAAATTATTACTTAAGTTATTACAGATGTCTCCTACAAAGTATTGTCGATAATAGGGAACTAATCCTGCCTATTATCGATAATAGGTAGGATAAGTTCCCTATTATCGATAACTATCTCAATGTTTATTTTTCACACATTTTCGTAATGTTATTGATGCGAAAAACTAAAAGACATGTGCTTGCAAGACTTTCCTACATCATTATTGCACCTAAACTTTCATACACCATAACACATAACCGTAGAACATCGCCATAACATGTAAACGTTTATACACCACTACGCATAACTGTAATCCACTATTTTAAAAGAGCGGAAGGTAAGTGCCAATGGAGTAAAAAGTTGTTTTGTTAAAAGCTAGTGATGGCATCATTGTATATGAAACAATGCCCGTAATTACATGAACTGAAAACATGTAACGGCCTCATTACATATGGTGTAACGCACGTCGTTACACCTTGCTAGCCTTTATTGTTTAGCTCAGACATTCTCGAGGACATTGATTGAAGCAAGATGTAAAGAGCGCTTAATCCTAACCCTAATCCAGGCCCGGAACTAAAAACGTGAGCATCTAAACCTGTTTAATTCCCAGCATGCACCTCCTGCAGTTTGACGTCTGCTACTTTAGCACCTGACGGGAAATCGCCGGGTATATTCGAGCCCACCATCGTCCACGCAAACCCCGGGCGATTCCAACATAAGCTGTGGTTAGCACCATCGAGATATCGATCCCGCCCAAACGAAATCGGGAACAATTAAAACCCGAGCCGAATTCTCGCTAACCGAGGGCCTCGATTACACGACAATAACACGTGCAGCTAAAGAGATTTTCTGGCATGAGTCATGTCCAGATTTTTAAAAACATTTTCATCCAAGTCTTGACTTCAGAAAAATAAAAAATTAAAAAAAATATTTAAAATATGTTGGAAACCATAACAAACTTCTTGAATTGTTGTCTATGGCGAAAACAGAATCTGAAGTTGACCTATATATCAGAAGTTAACTTCCGGGTAAACTTTTGTCTAGAAGAAATTTAAAATAGTGTAGGCTATTCTTTTTGTGTTAATGAAAAAAAATATATTTCCAAGAACAAAAAAAACGAAACAAAATTACTCCTGCGTCTTACACGGTTATTGAAATTGGAATAATTGTTTTTACTGTTATGACAAGAGAACCTGAAAATTAACCAGAAAGTTCTAGTATCTGAGTGCTATGAACTGGAACAGGTCATTGTGCCACAATTTTTTTGTGTACTTGGCCGAATAAAACAATGATTGAAAACAAGAGAGACGTGGGCACAAAAACAAGGCCAGGATGATAGGGCAC